GGACGGGGTAGCAGAGGCCACTGCCTATGGCTGTGACGACGCCGAAGGAGAGACTGAGCAGCGCAGCAACATTCAACAGCAACATTTTGTCTTTTAGGGTTTCAGCTTTCTAGCGTGATGCTCAGCTGCTCTCCGGGGCGACGGCGGCAAAGCACCATAAAAGGACTCATCACGCAACTTACCAGAAAAGGAAACAACTATGCAGCGTCAGGGCAGACATAACAAGGCCAATGCTCATCACAGAACCCCCCAAAAGAGTTGCCCTGCAGCAGTCCAACCACACCCCCAACGCAGAATATACGTGTAAATAACATTGGTGTACGCTTCAGCAGCGGTTTAAAAAAAAAGCAAACAAGGTGTGTCTTAGAGAGAATATGATTAAACAGTAGGAACTGCGTCAGTATGCTACTTCTAGAAAGAAGAACACAACAACTACTACCACGGCAATTTATATAGACACATATGTAATGTTGTGCACTTCTATATGTACGATATATATATTATATTCATCGATGGTAACTTGTATACAACGTATTTCACTAGAAGTTGCACTGTACGCACTTCGAGGGGCCCAGAGTCCTGTGCAGCCTCCCCCCAAAGAAGCCGGCAATGCCCTGCACCAGCACTGCGGAGACGTAGAGGATAAGACCATCCTACAGACAACAAAATAAGAGAAAACCGAAGCGCTGAATGTCTGTATAAGAGAGAAAGAGAGGTATTTCTGCTGGCATCGGCCTCATCATTCACCTACAGCTTGAGGAAAAGAGCGGGCTAAGCCTTCAAATATACAAAACGTTTTTGGGTTTTGTGTTTAAATATTCAGTATCTCTCTACTTACGTGGTAACGAAGAGATGACGTCGGCTGCAGCAAACGCATGTAGGCGATGATCAGAGGTGCGATGTTCCCGAAGGCGTGTAGACTGCCTGCAACACCGCCCAACACAACAGCAAGAAAAACACAGCAGCGACGAGAAAAGTAGCAGCAACAACCACGAGAATAAAGACAACAAGGATTACAATGACACCAATAGATTCTCACCAACAAAAAAGGAGCAACAAAAACAACAACAACTATAATAACGCCGTCTGCGGCCCTGGGTATCCGCGGCCCTGCTGTGCAAACAGCCAGTTTTTGTTTACTGCATTCAAATCCCTCGTGAGTAGATTGATCACCACCAGTATTAAGAGCGTCTGCTTCTCAATACAAAACAATCATAACACTATACCCTAGACCCTTCGTGGTAGACAAGCAATGCTCTCACCGAGGGTCAGATGAATCAGAAAGGCCCCCACTAGGGCCATGTGTGCGCGGCATTTCTGCGCGCCGACCGGTGCCTGTGGAGAAACAAGAGATACATAGAGGAGGCAGAGATATCATCAACTGCATGGTTTGTATTGGGTCGTCTGCGGTGTTATATTATAAGATATGCAACGTAGCCCGCGCTGTACAACTCACCTTGGGGCAGGCGGCGGCGACGCTCTCGCCATACATTTTGCCGATTTTNTAGCCCGCGCTGTACAACTCACCTTGGGGCAGGCGGCGGCGACGCTCTCGCCATACATTTTGCCGATTTTTTCCTCGCGAGGTCCGCTCCAGATACTTCAAGATACACACCAAGTGGCGGGATTCGTCGATTATATCTGCAGGGTGATGATGGGGAGGAAGATTCTGTCTAGACAGCCGAAACCATGTGCTCGCCGAGCTCATACAGCGACAAATGAAGACCCTCCCTTCCCCTCCTAGCGGCTCGGAATCAGGAGGAAGCGTACTAGCAGACAACAAGGAACAAGAGGTGAAACGTCAGAGTCGAAAATGAGGAGAAATTGCCACGGCGACAGCGCCGACGGTCGCCGAAGGCATCGTCGGGGTGTTAGTGGGTGGAAAGCGCTCTCACAGGAGGCGTCTTTCCGGGAATACACAAAAGCTTGAATTCAAAAACGAATCTCGCGATAAAAATAATTAAATTTAATTTAAATCCAACTGTGTGCAGCCGTTCCCCTTGGTGAGCTCAGATCGAGATGAGTTGCAGACACGGGATGTACACCCGGGCGCTA